CTTAAATGGGAAATTAATATTATGTATAAATGTTGAAATTCATTAACTCTACTCATTGAAGATTTCGTTTTTTTAAACATAAGAAAATATAGTTTGATAAATCAATTTGTTTTTCTTACCATTATTATTATTTATATACCGAGTATTATTATACATTTAAGAAGATTTCGTCAATAAAATCGAATTTTTTATATATTTATGATTATGTATGTATGTGTATGTGTATTTGATATTTTCATAAACTGATTTTTTTTAGTAATTGTAATTGAATGAATGAAATAATTAATACATCACTTAAATTAACGTATCTAGTTAATTTGAATTAAATCCATTTAATCCAATAAAATAAAAAAATATTCTATTTGATTGCAAAAACAGAATTTTAGTTATACTAACATTTTTTTATATATTTTATTATGCTCTATTATTTGTATTTTATATAAATTTAATAACTTAAGTATTCTATGTATTTTATCATAAAACACATTTGTTGTTAGATACATATTAGGAATGGTTTTAATAAAAACACAATTTTTATAAGTCTGTTAACAATAATATATAACATATATGTATGTATACATAGTTCTTACAACAATTTCCAAATATTTATTTACCTAATTTATTCATACAGTGGAGCATCGATTTTTACGTATTCGCAGATTTTTCACAGATCATAGAATTTCATAATTTTTCTCTCGTCCATATGAATCAGATATTATCATAAGTATAATATGCTTTTTATTTTTTTCATATATTCTTTTTTATTTTTTTCTTTAATGTCAAAATAATGATAGAATAAAATTCCTAGCCTAATGTATATTATTATAAATAAAATGACATCATAAATTTGATAAGGATATATTTTCTTAACATTACACGTCATTCATTTTGGCAATATAATTATTAGCTTTTTTCTTATATTATTTGAAAGATATAAATCAAGATCGCTATACATTAAAATTGTTTTATTTTTGATAAATATAATTAGTTTCTATATTTTTTTCTTCATAGATTTTGCCTGCATCGTTAATTACTTTTTGCAGATGCGAAAGACGGAATCAATAGACGGATATTTTTTGATATTGAAAAGATTACTAAAAGTTTTTTTTTTAAATAAAGAATATTATCAAATAATTTTAGTTAGTATAGTTGCAATCAAGACAATCTTATTATACTTAAAATGACTTTTGGTATTATAGGCACTATAATCATAGTTTGATTAATATGATTTTATCTCAAAACATATGAAAAATAATTATCATGATCGAATTAAAAATATAAAATAGACAATTATAATTTAATAGAATATGAGAAATTTATTGAAATAAGACCTGAAAAAGAAATTTATAATTAATTTATTACATAATCTAATTGCCGGTGATAATTATTTTAATTTGTTCATTTATAACATTTTTTTGTAAATTAAATGCTAATTCATTATGTAATACGTATTTATAGGAATAAGTAAAATAATTTGAAGAAATTTTAATTTATTTCTAAGAACATAATACGTGAAAATAATACTTGCATTCGGAATTTTAAAATCAAAACCACTTCAACAATAACAATGAGATTTTTATAAATTTCTTTTTTTTTTGAAATTAATGAAAAACTTAATGATCGACTATATATATAATTAACTTTATTAATTTTTACACACATTTTTTATTAGCAAATCATAATTCGATTTTATACTGAATATGCTTAATAATATTTCATCAATGAATAATCCCTTCATATTGCTTAATATGAGTCGAAATTTTTCGTTGCTATTTTCAACAGTACTAATAAAATTATAAGAAAGAGATGCTGATTCATCTAGAATATTATATAATAATATTGACAAAATAATATTAACTAATTGGTGTTTTAGTATTGAATTATATGTTTAGTATAAGAGTTTATTTCTTATCCCGTACATTATTTAACATTTGTACATGTACATTGATAGAGGCTATTTGCCACAAAATAAGAAATATTCGAAAAAGCAGAAGCAATATGAATTATATTGCATTATCGATCAGGAAAATTACGAGACGTAGTATTGACATTTCAGAGGCCGAAATTGTGAACATGACAAATTTCGTCATTATTTTTCGATGTACAAAATACTAGCTTTTTGGTCCCCGATCGTTCTGTATTTCTGCATCTTTCGACGAAGGTGGAGTTTTTTTTTCCTGTCGGTATTTCTCTTCACATTAACAATGACTGTGTCAATATTTTTTTATTTTTCTCACGCACACACTTCTCGGGATTTATGGCTTTCGTTCTTCAAAATCAGGTTGCTTCCTTCATTTTTTTTTATCTTTAATTATCTTGTTAATTATTATACTGCATCGCCTCTACAACATTTCTCTTCATTGCCAAAGGGTTCGAGAGTACGTGCAAAAATATGTGTTTTAATTTTACACTGTAAATTATATATAATTTATGTTTATACATACATACATATATATATATACATTTTTTCTTTCTTTCTTTTTGACATTGCATTCAGTGAGTTTATAAAATCAGCAAATTCAATAGATACACGTAGTACACTTGTGGCATCGTTGATTATCTTTTGCCTAATACATACGTTTTTCTATGTACCACTAATCACATGTAATAATGATATAAGACTGCGCATATTCAATAGCATATTTCGTGCTCATAGTTAAGGGATTTGTAAATTTAAATTCAGTTGAAAATTTCGATTAAAATTATAATGAGATTTTTTTTAATAAAAATACAGGAAATGGTGTAGAATTCAACGATATTTCATATAATAATCTATCATAATAGATCAACAATTTTTTCTAATTATCGTACATTATCAATCACATTGGATGAATTAAAATTATAAATACTATAAATTAATAATCATTATTAATTAAATATAATTTTCTTAAAATGTAAGAGTTTTTCGTAATATTATGAACATTAAAATTTTATCGACCATGGAATTTTTTATTGCTCATGTACTATCTCATAACTGTCAGACCTTCAAATTGAATTTTATTAAAATCATAGGCATAAAGCGTAAAGTAATGAGTAAAACTTTATAAATCTTAGAAGCGTAACGTGAGTAAAACATAGTAAAAAAATCAAAAGGATATGAAAATATTTTATTTCACCGTGTCTAGTTTTCATTTCTAGTTTTCATGATAGTACGTAGGCAATCAAATCAAAAGCACATTAGGAAATTAATGAATTAACGCCAGATAGGGTTAATGGTCGGGAATCTTTGGATCTTCTTTCTTGGAAAGTCTAAAAACGTAAATGTAGGGCGGCAAAAGATCACAAAGAACTGGAGCCTCGTCTTTTTACGAGATGTGCAAGCGAGCGCACGTAAAGATGCTTTTACGACTGACAGCAATGAAACTTTCATCCTGTTTTGTCTGTTGAAATCGAGGAAACTAAGACGAATAAATCCGTTTCCTCACAAATACGTTAGCCTGCGATGTTCATTCTTATCCCGAATCTGCTTCATGCTTTTTCATTTACTGTATTGTAACCTGCTTTTTTTATTTATTTTTTTTTCTTATTTGTGTTCGAATCTGTTTCACCTCAATGAATATGTAGCCGTAACAGTGTGTACTTCGTAAATTAAATTAAATCCATATTTTTCCATGTATATTTTCGCTCAGTTTTGTGACTAGAGCACCGAATAGATACCGAATAAGTTATTTATTGGAAAGTATTTATGGATTATAAAATACGTTATCCCTAAGGCTTTTTCAGTAGTACTTTGTGCCTAATATAAATTTTTATTGCAATAATCTTGAGTGATATATAAGATATAATCTAAGAAGAAGAAAAAATAATTCAAACAATACAGTTATTAAAATTAAATATTTATGTTTTTCACACTCATATTTTTAAACAATTATGTAAACTAAATGTGTCAAGTTTCATAAAAATAATATTATGGTTGTGGCATTGTCAATTGATTTATAATATTATAATTACACATTTTACTTATAGATTTTAATTACTATTTTATAATAAACTAGCAATATTAGTTCAAGTATAGAAAACTAGTCATCAAAAAGCCTTGTCAAGAATCTTATTACATGCTTATATTCTTATAGAAACATTATACAACATTAAAAACAGTTATTTAAGCGAAACATTTATTTAAATAATCCTTGCAAACTATTAATTTGAAGTAAAAAAATATTTATTCTGTATTTTTTACAACGAAGACTAATGGAGTCGCATGTATTTTCTACGTAATGTTATAAGATCATAATTTTTTATATCACAATTTAATACAATTTTTTTTACAGTTGTCTCTGTAGAAATGAATTTACATTTTATTGGTATTAATAATTATTAATTCACGGATAATCTACTATAATTAATAAATTTACTTACTAAGAATTATATAAATAAATGTTGTTTTTCAATAAAATATTTATAAAATATATTTATTGTCCTAGCGAATAATTTTATCAATGTATTTTACATAATAATAAGTAATTTTGATTTGCATTATTAAAATTCACGTTAGAGCAATATAATGTATACTTATAAATAGATTAATTACCAAAAAAAATTTTTTTCAGTTTTCTGAATCGAAATTTTTGATATAACTGCTTAATTGTGTAACAATATTCTCTATTAAAATACTTCAAAGAAGAAAGTCATGCGGTTTTATCAGGTTTTTTTATTTATTTATTCTTTTTATTTTTAATAATTAGTTTGCTGGCAGTGCTGTTCAATTCTTAGGTATTTGGAATAATTAATATCAATATAGATAAGCATATTGATATTTAACCTTGGAAAGCGTCTGATCTTGTGTAACGCTTTGAGGCACGAACGGATATAATGTGAAAAGGCTTACGTTCAGTTTTCTTTCTTTAGATTAGTTCCTTTTCCTTCTACCCTTTTTATATCCTTTTTCGAATCGACTCTACAATCGTAGCAACACAACCATTTCAGTCAGCGTGCTACGAGGCGATAAAGGGAAGAAACTCGTCTTCTTTTTTCATTCTTTTTCTACTAGTCTTACGACAGGGCCGGTGCCGAGCGATCGTTGGTCTTTGTTTTGCGCAGCTTCACCGTCGCAAAAATGTTGTTCCTGAAAGAAAGTCAATGTTCACACGTTTTCACAGAATGACCAGTACTAATCGTAAAGGAAAACGTGCTCTTTTCTAAAAGTGACTAAAGAAATTACATACCTCAAACGCCGTTCAACAACCGAGAGATTAAAAAAAGGTTTGATCTACTATTTTGTTTATCGTGAACTCATGTAAAGCAATACATTTTATTTATATTGTAAGTAATATTCTCTTAAAGAATTTTAGTTTTGTCTATAAATATTATAAAGTTATTTCTGTATTATTACATGATCTCAAGAGATTGAAAATTATCTCACGTTAACAATTCAGAATTTCATTATTTGTTCAAATTATTAAGTATTTAGCAATTTCAATATATAAAATATTTTTCTGGTATTAAATTTATTTATTTAATTTTATATATTAAACATTTTTTCTTTTATTACAAAACAATCATTATTAATGTCTATAATCATTTACATAGTAAAAATAATTTTTCTTAATTTTATACATAATTATTATCATTATATTCCTTAAATTTTAATTTTATTAAGCATAGAAATTATAGATTCGTCAAGCTCATAATTACATTTTTTTATATTAGTTTTTTTTCCCTATATTTTTATTAATATCAATTTATATTTATAAGAAGTGAAAATATAAGTCCATTTTTTACTATATAAACGATAATTTTTATTATTCAATTTATACTTCTGAGTATGAGTTAATTTTGTTTATATTAATTTCACAAAGTTTGAATAAATGATCTGTAATTAATTGTCTCCAATCTCATCCTATTTAACATATAAATCAGAAAGTTTCTTCAAATCAGAAACGGCTTCTTGACTGAATGGTTATAAAAATTGTTAATGGAATTAGCTAAATTAATTTATATTTAATCGCTAGCAATGAATTACAAGTATGAAAATAAGCATTCAAATTAGGTAATATTTTTTCTTGATTTTTCTTTACTTTATGTATATCATATATATTATACAAGTGCGACGATGAACGATTCGACAACTATGTAAATGTAACATATAAATAAACTAGTATAGCGCATAAACAAATAAATGCAGGCACTAACGTACCCATTATAATATTGGCGAATTACTCACATGTACGATTCAACTATCAAAATGACGCTGAAGAAAACAATGAGTGAAGATACTATAATATACATATATATATATATATATATATATATATATATATATACATATATTATAAAGGCAATGAAAGCTTAACACATTCGCTTTATTATATCGTTTATGTTATCTATAAAATATCAAATCTTTCAATATATCTCAATAGTTTTACTGTTTACCAGAAAATACAATTTAAAACATTAATATTAACAATTTGACGTAATTAAATATAGAATAAAGCGATTGAGTTACAATAAACAATACAAATATTCAGCTTCGAGCAAATACATACATTATGAATTAGAAAAATATGCGTCATATGAAGACATAAACACATAAATGTGAAACGGTAAATTAAAAATAATAAAACTTAATAAACATAAAATGTGTAGTAAAAAAAAGAAGTAAAAAACGGAATGTAGATCTAACGAGTACTTCATTGCCTATATAATTTACTGTTGCTTCTTCTTCTTCTTCTTAGTAACCGATTGATCAACTCCCCAAAGATCGTACCATGGGCCACAAGTTTTCTTATTTCGATCACCCCTCTCACTATCTCTTCGGAGTTTCGTCCTTGGCAACAAAGTCTTCTCGGATACTGCTTGATCCTTAACAATAATGCAACTGTATGTCGACTCCTCATCCGAGGCATCGGTTTCTGTAAAATGCTGAACCATCAACCCATCGTCATCGTCCCCGTATGGGTTTTTTCTTCTTTCGTTTCTTTTAACCTGATTATTTTCCTTCAATTCGGCGACAATCATATTTCTCTTGGCCTCCAAACTACGCTTCCTCTCATTTTCCAGAATAGCCTTTCTCGATACGTTGCCTACGAAATACGGACGTTGTTCTTTATGATGCCTCGACGAGGATGATCGATACTCTCCTCTATCGGCCATTTTTGGCCTCTCCGCCGGAGTCGGCAAGTCCTCGAAATAATCCACTGGCGATGACTTTTCAGGAAGATGAATTCTCTCGGCCGGCTTGGGCTCATCTGGCAACGATTGCTCAATTCCGTTGATCCTCTCATTGGTAATTGTCGAGCCACTGTTCTTCCGTTCGAGACTTCGATGAGATGGGCCCGGACTTCCCTCAGAACTAGATTTTCTAGACTCGTCTGGTGATTTTGTCTTCTCCTCGTACGAATGTTTCTTCAACATTTTCGGTATATCTACGAGCGATCTATGCTGCCATAAGGCCATACCTTCTAATACCTCGGAGTCTCGACGAAATCTCCAAAAGCTTTTGGTCCTTTTAACGAGTTTCGGACTTTTGTTTTCGATTTCGAAGCCACGCCCAGTCTGTATGAGATGGCCCATTGCCGTGCTCTGCCTCGGTATTAACAGTTTTCTGTCGTCCTTCAACGTGTTATTATTGGTATCATTTCTTTCAATATGGCTCTCGGATATTCTCGACGCTCTTGGATATCCATGACGCTCCAATACCTTAGTTCTCTCCAATTTTGTTTCGAAATTTGATTCGTATCCACGATCTTTATCCACGATCAACGATTCATTAGAAAAGCCTATGCCTACCGTTTCACCGTAAATATCTTCTTTTTCAGAGTATCTTCGTTCACGGTACCTCTGATGTTCCTTTGACTGAAGATGTTGTTCAGTGGGCCTCTCGGGTGCCTCTTGTGATGGAGGTCTAGGTCTATCCAATCCGCGCGTAGATATTCGTTCCGATGTGTGCCTTCTCTCGGAATTCTTCTCATAAACTCTGTTACAGTCGTAAGTGAGGGTTGATTGACGCGAAGAGGCTATTGATTTATCCGTGTAGCGATCGCGCTCGCGCTCTCGATCACTGCTCAGATGTCTTTGAGTTGTTCTGCTACTCCGTATATTCCTTTCGTATTTATCGAATGGCATCGGCGACAGCTTAGGTTCGTCACGTGATCTATCAAGGCTATTTTTATTGTAATCCATACTACGTCGCTCCATGAATTTTGGCGGACTATGTTCACGCGCGTACTTTTGAGCTGTCTGCTCTAGTTTTTGAGTTATCTGCTCAACTTTTCTCCCCGTTTCAGGTATGGTACTTTCATCTTCTGATTCTGAAGATGGCGATGAGGATGAATCGCTCATTTTATCATCGTCGTACTTGGAGTCGTTACTTCGCCGGTAATTCAAACGCCGATCATCGTCGTTATTGCTGTCGTAGTACTGCTTATTGTCGTATTTGTCGGGACGATAGTTCACACTTACGTTATAACTCTCATTCTCTTCATCGTCAACATCAGCTTCAACTTCTATTTCATCATCCTCCGTTTCAATATCCCCCCGTCTATCTTTTCTAGATCTATTTTCTTCTCTATCGAGTCTACGATTGTACCCTCTGCTAGAGTTACCGTGATCATCGTTAGATGCAAATTTGCCACCTCCGTTTCTCTCGGAATTTGAATTTCTTACCGCACGCGTATTCTCATATTCGTTCTTTTGATTATTATCATTATGTTGTTGTTGTTGCTGCTGCTGCTGTTTTCTCTCTTTCTTTGTCGGTCCGTTCGAATCATTATCTATGTTTCTAATAATCCGACGCTCCTCGTGTCGTCCAGACTTTCCATTCGATTGATCATTGCTACTTCCCACGACGCTACTCTCGGACCAATATTCGGTCATGGCACTACGATAAACGTGCCATGACTTTTCATCACGTGGTATCGTCTTCCAAGAATCGTTCTCCCAGTCTTTACTCTCACTTGAGCTCTGTATTTTACCGTCTTCCTTATTATTGGCTTTTTGATGCTGTTGTTGTTGTTGTTGCTGCTGCAGCAGCTGCTGCTGATGCTGCTGTTGTTGTTGCTGCTGTTGGTGTTGCTGCTGCTGCTGGGCATGTTTATGTTGGTGCTTCTGCTGCTTGATAGGTCGATCTGCTGCCTTGCGTCGTCTTAGTCTGTTTTATCGGGATAGGGTTGTGTGAACGAAAAGAAAAGAAAACAAAAGAAAAAACAAAAAAATGGATGCGTGAGATAATGTACAAGAAAGTGATACGAAAATCGTAAATTTTCTTGAGTGTTATTTAATTTTACGTTAAAAATATAATCTTGTTCATTGTACAAAATTTCTTTTGACTTACTTTATATATATATATATATATATATATATATATTTAGTTATTTATTTATTTAAAAAAATATATATTAATCATTCGTGAAACTATAATAATGCAATGCACTGAAAATATAATTGTAATAGAGAAGTTCAATCTCCTGATTATTGATTACCTTAGTTAAAGTAGATTCAGTTTTGCCGACAATTTTATGTTAAACATAATATATCACGAGTTTTTAAATATATTTATAATTACAAAAGAGTTAAAATTTCGTACGTAAATCAAAGTTCAAAATTATTTCTTCAATACACTATGGTGAATAATTTCAATGACATATAGAATTTATATTAATTACGTTTGAAAATTTTATAATTTCACTCAAAAAAATTTTATGTAGAAGGTAGAAGAATTAGAATGTACAACTAAAAGAAGTAAAGACGTCAAAATTGCTAAAAGACCAAGAACCATACGATACAAAGACGCTGTGTGCCAAGATAAGATAGGATAGGTTTTACATTTTTAATTTGTAAATTTATAAATGGAGAACATTGGACTGAGGTCAAAATATAGGATGTATAATTCGTAGTGGATAGGTAAAAGTCCATCACCGTCGCATTTAATTCCATTGATCGCAGTAACGCATGCGGAATCTACAAAGACGAAAGAAACAAGACAAAACAGAACGTAATCTAAAAAATAAAGGCTTGTCCCAGAGAACAAGACGAGACAAGAGAAAATTACTTTTTTTATACAAAGCTAGTTTATGTAAAAAGGGCCCCTCTATTTATTACAAAGAGTCGTCTGTCAAGCAAAAATTATTATTATATTCATGATTTACCTACAAAGAAGCATTCTCTTTTACATATTAGACACAGTTAAAATTATTATATGAACTTACTTTAATAATCTTGAGTAGTGAAAATGTTCATAATTAATTGTTTGAATTAGATTTAGACAATTTTTATTTACTAAATAGTTATATAAGTATATATATATATATATATATATATATATATGTGTGTGTGTGAATTTATTTTGTCTATTAATGGCTATACATGACAATAGTTAAATTCTATACAACAACTTTGACTGTATACGTTATTAAATAAACGAAAATTAAATAAAGTAGCATAGGTAATAATTATAAAAAGGTGACTATATTTACAGAAACAATGGTTAAAAAAAATGTATATTCATATATTATAAAGAAAACAATTTGAAATTCAATTTTCTGAATGGAGCAGACAGTAAAAGATGCATAATTTTATACAAAGCTTGCGTTAATATGCCGATTTATGTATCATTAGATTATATAAAAAGCAACTACTTTCGGGATTTAATATATGCAATTAATAAATATAATAATAATAAATAATAAGAAGAATAATAAGGAGAGAGGAGAATAATTCGTTAAACTATGGTACAACTAGAAAATCTTTCATTACTTTCTTTCCTTCAGTGTTTTATCTCCGTTTTATATGAGACATATACATATTCTATTTTATCGTTCGTAACAAATGACTGACGAGTGACACACAATCTCATAAAAGGAAAATCAAATTTAGTTACGTCTGATTTGCTGCTACGTTGTTTTTATTACAGTTTTTATTTAATTATAAAAAAGAAGAAAAAATCCTTACAGTATATTTGTATAATGTATTTAAATAAAATCGAATATATGCTTGACCAACTCGATTAATCTTCAACTGTCGAGTTAAAGTAAAAGTAATTTTATTAAAATTAAGAAATCGACAAGATCGATGTATTTTCAACAACGTGTTGGATAAAATTACCTTTAAGTTATCAACCTTACGCGAGGGCAATAAAAATTTAATCAAATTCAGAAAAGTTTCTGCCTTATCTTCAATTTATTTAGCTAGAAAATTATGGAATTTACAACTGTTATAATTAATTTTATGGACCCACAAGAACGCGTGCAATATTGCGCCTGAATAATTGAAAAATTATCAAACATATAAATACTTCCAATTAATCACCGCTATTCTTTGCGACTACAGGACAACAATCACAATTTCTAATGTATTATGTAATAATATTTTCAAGAAGTTTTATAGAGAAAATTGAAAAGACAAAACTTCTTTATCATTGGGATTTCCAATGGAAATCTATATTTTTCAAACGTTTCTCTCTCATTTCTCATTACCTATCAAATCGTTCCGTATATAAAGCTTTTAATAAAAATAAACAACTCAACATATCCCCAAAGTGTAATGAAAGATTTTCGTTGCACTCCCCTTCTCGCCCCCACCCACCCGTCTATAACCTATTCGTCATTTAACCCGCGTGCAGATATACCCCTTCCTCTCTCTTTCTCTCTCTCTCTCTCTCTCTCTCTCACTCTCTTTACTTTTTCCGTCTACTTATAGTTTCTGCCTCCTAGTCTCTCACCTCATGGCTTCGTCGTCACTATAGTCAATGTCCGGCTGTACGGGCGGTTCGTTCGAGAAGCCGCTGTCGTTGCTACTATGGAGTGACGTAACTGCCTGAGGTGGCGGGATGGGTGGCACCGGCGGCTGCACCCTACGTCCTCCCGCCAAAACAGTCGGCAGCGTTCCAGTTGGACGGATCTGCGAATGGAAAAGCACCCGAACTCAAGTACTTGTTTTCTCTTTTCTTGTCTTGCGCTCTACTTGTTTTATTCCCTCTGCTTGATTATGTGCCATTGTGCTGACATGCGGTACATGCTGATTCGCGTTTCTTTCTCACATTGATGTTTACTTCTTTTACGTGTAGTCGAGCGGAGGAGTTCTGGATCAACGATTGCTCTTTTCCTTTTGCCATTTACATGGATACGGATAGACTATCTTTTTCTTTTCAAGTAAGCGCGCCGAACGGAAGATCGAACGATTTGAATGCTGTCGTTGCACCGATGTTTAATGGAGCGGTCAACGATTTAATTTACAAAAATATATGAATTTTTGCATTGAGAGGTGGTGTGCGAGCGATCGAGGATAGTCTATTCATTTCGTATAAATAATCTTGAAAGAGTTTGAGCGTTTATATTATTTGCAAAAAGCATTCGTAAAGTTTTACGTAGTGGCAGTTTTGCTTTACGCGCGCCCACGTTGATAGGGAATTCTATCTCCCCTCGGCAACACGCCATTTTCATATTAACGTTCGCTAATGTAATCTTACAAATGGAATCCAATATAAATACGATGCTTAAAGAGAAGGAAAAATGATGGCTAATAAAAATGATCGGTAATTGGCAGTCGGTAGTAGCTTTGACAAAACGAGCCGGACAGCATGAATGACCAGCTTTGTCGTAAATCAAGGATAAATTTATGAGCCGCCATGATCGCCCGGTGGAGAGTTTGTGAAGTTAGTTAATTAACGATTTAAACCAATGGCGCTAAAATATGAATGTAAGCCCGAAGAAAAGTCCTCGTTACCGATTTGGCCTGTCGACTGGTTGGAGCGGCAATATTGTGGGAGCTGCTGCTTTTCGACACGCTGGGTACGGTGCCATTATTGATATTGTTATTGTTGATGTTGCCGCCGCCATTGTTGTTACCGCTGCTACTATTGGAGATGGAGCCATTGTGAGGATGGCCGTTGGTTTCATTGCCGACGGAGTTGACGCCCGCTGATTCGTTATTCGGCACTGGTGGTCGAGACGGCGGTGGTTTGCACGGTGGCATTACTTTCGATTCAGAACCATTGGCTCGGCCGTTACTCGTGCTATGATTTGGGGATCTGTGAATAAAATGTTGGAGCACGTAGATGAATAATTCATTGTATGAGTGAAAAAAAACCGAAGAACGGGGGAATGGAGGGAAGATTTTTTTAACGACTTTGGAGCGCGACGATTGAGCCAAGGTTTATGAAAATTACTTAGGATTTTCTCGTGCCGTTGAACATTATGGTATTGAAAGTATAGATTATTTTACAGGTGCGTTACTTGGATTCGGAAATTGTACACGGTAGATGAGTTTCGTATTCAACAAATTGGTATTTGACACAGTAACTCTCGGTCTTTGTCTTAATTTTCAACGATAAATATAATAATGTGCCGAAGTTTTATACATCGGCTGACTCAATATCATCGTCCATCGCTTAAAGGCCAGTTTCGTAGAATCGAAGGTTAAAAATGAAAAAATAATTGCCGCAGCATGCAAGTATAGTTATTGATTGTTCAAACTACGTTTGAATTAAATTGTATTACGGTAAAATTAGTGGGGCAATTGTCTCGATTCTATATCGGAGTGCATTGGCGAGAGTGAGCATTCACGAGGATCGTACGTTGAATAGATAATGCAATTATGATACGAGAAATTCATACTAAATACAATACAGCATTATCATTTATAAACGAAGAGTGTAACGGTTAAATAAATTGTATAAGTTTACCCTAGCGATTCGTCAATGATAACTTCTGTATAAGCAAGGGGGAACCATCCGGAGCATTGAGTGCGTAGATTCTCGCCAAATTGCCAACCCTTCTGTCGGTCGCCTTTCAAACATGAGACAAACATGTACAATTAGAGCTACATTTTTATATATGATTCAATGAAGGAATGATAATAATCTCGATATTAATATGATGTAAGACCATTACTCGTGAAAGCAGGTATTGAACGTATGTGCAGTATCAATTATCGATACGACGAACAAGCGATAGAAATAATAGTGCTACGGACTAATATGTCCGATCATTTATTCGCGAAAATGACTCGTGCTTTTAATTCCCACTTTAAATTGTCTTTATACAGGATACATACATTAAATGAAAATGGTGGCATCGGGATCTCGAAGACTATCGCGAATACAATAACGAATCGAGGTTCGGCATGTTATTTCCAGCGAAAACTAACCACCCCGTCTCACGCTCCACGGCCATTACGGTAAGATGCACATAAGAACCCCTTATTGTTAAAAACAACACTTACCCATAAGCGCAATCAAGTCGCCCTCGTGGAAGCTCAGTTGATTCTCGCCCGAGCTGAGGTAGGCAAAAAGGGCACGAGCAAGGGGTGCCTCACCCCATCCGCTGGTGATATGGGCACCACCCATTCCGCCGCTGTTTCGAGATATGGGCGCCATAGATCGTGGTCTTGGCGGGGTTTCTGGCACCTCTATTACGCGCCAGCAGAGAGAATAGTCGATGTTAATTTTAAGCCTGGAGAATCTCTGTGTTTTATAGGACTTGTACAACACATCGCTCAAAAATGTATATTGTGGCAATTTCGTTGTGCGCGAAAGTTTTTCCATGTTGGTGGAAGTGTAGACTTCTGAATTTACGACATTCTAATGGCGAAATGAAGCGGAGAGAAATAGGAGTCGGAAGAAAGGAATGGAAAAATTGCGTGTACCAATTGACAGAGGCGATTTTCGGTGAAGATGATCTCTCGTAATGGAGAAATTGTAAGAAACGTTAAAGAGTGTTTATATCCGTATAGATTAGAATAATGGATGAATGTTCAAGTGGAGACAAATGTTTTGGCCATTTAATTGTTGCTCGAATATAGCCATACACGAAGCCACAGTATCATGTATAAAACTATCTATTTACGCATGCCAGTAGTCCCAGATATAGGAAAAGTGAATAGTATTCATTCCGCGATCCCTCTTGTATCATCTATTAAATTGATATCATTAAATTTCTTCCGTTAGAGCTTCTTTTTTACTAAATCATCTCGCTGGAGAACGTTGCTCCCCCGCCTCTATGGGATCTGCGCATTAAAACGGGGAAGCATCTACATTCATACAGCTACGGTTGTCTAGACTACTGGCTTCCTCTCTTCAGACCATATATATGTATATATGTATATATATATATATATATATATATATATATTGGAGAGACGCGATAACGAAGGCATATTAACGCTCCTGAGAATCAGACGCGATTACGGGCCTATTCACTTTCATTGCGGAGCATAGACCCGCAAAATTGTGTATACTTCGAGTGACGAGTACTTATCATAAGAAAATTCTTAGCTGTCTCTATATCACGTTCTACTAACAAGTAGTAAACGCATTAATACGAGTCTTCAATTTTACTTTAACAGTAGAATGACTAAGCATGCACGGCCTACTGGAGTAACGGAAAATGCATACGTAGAAATAACATCGACATTTTTTTCTAATATTTAATTTTTAATTTTTTTTCTATATCCCCCCTCGCCCCTCTCGCAATCTTCTCCCAGTAAATTAATACTTGGCAGATCTTATAGTATTTGTCGATACATTTATCACTAAGGCAATATCCTTCTCCATAAAGATTTTAATCTCCAATAAGATTATAGTTGCAGATCTGTTTTTCTTATTCCAGTCAGATTTAATTACTTTCCTTCAAATGGCAATTGGCTTACATCGTCGATATTTCTCTTATTCGATATCGCGAATTGAATCACTATTATATTGTGAGATTAGATAGACGCGAGTGGGAGTTACGTTACCGAAAGCAAAAGTAATATGGGGATTAATCAACCGCGCAGCTGTACGACAAATATCTCTGGCAAACGACTAGACAAGCGGCAATTAGTACATAAAGACGAATCCACCGTACCCCCGCCCCCATAACTGCCCTAAGATAAAATCGATTTCTACTAATAAACTTGTTGGCCAATCTAGCGACTCTACCGAAGATAGAAACCCAAAGTAGAACTTCATCTTGCTGCTTATGCTCCAATATAGCCCCTCCTCTCTCGTCTAATAAGGTGCTTCTACCATTGGCTATTCGAATTTCGCCGCAAAGTTGCCGTGGTGGGGTAAATAGTTAACAGTCGCCATTACGAATGCCAAAGAAGATCGTCATGTGTATAATAGAGAAGCAGCGGCTTTTCAGGATGCGACAGAGATGGGACGGGAGACTGCGAGCAGCCGGCGGAACTTGTACAAAGTGTCAGGAGGTGGTCGGAGCATCCAAAAGTTTCAAGGACATATGCGGGGGACAACTCGTGTGGTTAGTCGTGAGTTCGAGATAAAGAGGATCTGCTGGGAGGAGGCAGAACCGGGCATAGCTGGGTCAACGCGGATATGCGAGAGAGGGAAAACCTTCGAGTCGGAATACGCGATTTCCATGTAGACACGAAGAAAGCATCATTCAGGGGCGAACAATCGTCAGGACGTTGTAATAGTGGGGTCGGATGTTTGTACACGAGGGTGTAGTATAAGCAATTGAGAAGAGGAATAATACGAGGACTGAACCACCAAGTGACTCCGTCCCCATGTGGTGTATCTGACTCGAGTGGTTAAAAGTTAGTATTTAAGAAAAAGTCCTTCCTTGTATTCTGGTAGGCTGCCAGCAGGATTGATTTGTGCCAAGCTCGCCGAGCCTGCATAGTTATTTAATGATTAATTAAAATAGAAATATTCAGTTGCCGTAGAAAATTCAAAATAAATATTATTTAGTAGTTTGGATTATAGGTAGTTTATATAATAGGCAACTGTTGAATTACCGTTTATCAATTAAGAACTCGTTCGGATAAATAAACTAATAAGGCATGCATATATTGGACGCCAAATTGACCATAAATTGATTAATTAAAAATTATTATTATTAGGAAAATTATTAAAATTATGAATGAGCGAATGAAAGTGACTATAAAAAATTCAACAAACAATAATTCAATGCAATGGAATATTATGGGCTTTAAACGAAGATTTTAATATTATATTGTTTTATCATTGTTTATATGTCGGTAATTATTGATTTAGAAAATTATTTTAATGCCACCAGAATACTAAAACTTTTCGTTTTAACTGTTCTTTTAGTAAACCATAAGTAGCTATTGTATTTTACATTATTCTCTACTATAGTACAGGTTTGCAATATCATAACTTGTTGTTTCGTCATTTTGAGTACTTAATCATAAAGTGCCAAGAATATGCTTACTTAAAAAAATACGTTAATTAATGTTTTTCAGTGTCGTATTCCATATACCAAATGAACAAATAATAATCTCATTAATTTTGCTTTATGATATTGCGTAAAATTTAACACGTACAAATTTCTGGGTAAGTTAATTTTGACGTTTTCGACTTCGTGCAACATCTTGGAGGTGACGGCTTGCGCTTGCAAAACTTTCATCCACATTTCCTTATTTCCTCCTTTGCCGTTCACTTAATAATAACTTGATGAAAGCAAGAGATGAAAACGCTTCGACGTGCTTAGCTGACACTTAGCATGAGACGTCAGCGGTGAGATTCGTATTCCCTTACCTGGTCCCAAGGAAAGTGTCGAGGCATGCAAATTCGCCTCGGATCGAGCACGTGCCAGGGCCGGTGGCAAATGAGTCGGGCCTTGTCCGTGTCCATGGTGTAGTCCACTTCCGGTCGATTGGCTCTGTGGTGGTCCGAGTCGTAATTCCAGGCAGGAACTGTCCATGCTGCGGGTCTTGCGCAGTTGTGAGCTCATTGTTAATTCGGAGCCGCCGTTCTCTTCGTCCTCTGGCCAGAACGACACTTGCTGCCGCACATACGCAAATTAAACACACACACGCGCGCGCGCGCACACACACACACAAGCCAAATTGAAATATTGGGTTTATTGGGAATTGTCGTTTAATTATCGACGACTAAGTCTACGTGCATTTTTTTGTAACGAGCTGCGCTTCTTTCACTGCGTTTGGTTAATTAATAGTCAATTTGAAAGGAGTAGAAACTTTTATTTACCAGGGGAAAAAATTAGATTCCTCGATATTTGTAGAACATTTGTTTAATTCTCGGCGCATTGAGTTTTTCTTCTTTTTTTTCGAGTTTTTTAAAGCATATTAGCGAAATCATGTAATCGTTATTAGATGAATTGTTTTTTAAAGCTATTAAAACGACACATCGAAGCTTCGGTTATTTATACTTAATTTAAAGATTTCTCTAATTAAGCTGTTGTGAAGTGACAAATTAATATTAACGGTGCCTCTAAAAGATCAAATATCAGTGTCCGAATACACTCTATTTATTTTTATTTAACCAAAGCTCCGTGTATGTCCCATGGAAATGATGAGAAATGATTTTTATTCCCGTGGATTTAAAATACCGTGCTATATCTTACGGTAATTTATGTTACTTAAGAACTCTATTCTATTTTACGGAGATTTAAATCTCGTTTCAGCAATTTTCTCAGTCTTAGAAAAATCTCGATTTGTGCTAGAATTTAATAAAAATTAAAAAAAAAAAAACTATTTTTCAAGATTTAGATGTAAATGAGAGTAACATTTTAATACATCTCGTTCCAACTATATCTCATTAAATCACATAAAATCTTAATATGGAATATGAAAGAATTTACATGATATAAATAACCAAAGCTTCGAACAAAGTAAAGGTTACAATTTACAAAAATAGCGGGCAGCTCGACAACAATAAAACGAAACGCGCCGACAACGGTAGAACGACGAATGACTCAAGTCTTTACGATTATTTAATATTCATGGAATTGGCACAAAGCCGCTTGAAACTTGTACCGCACTATTGTAAAGTAGACGAGTGTCATCGGTCCTTGACAACGCGTATAACGCCAATTGTTATCATTCCCACAGCGAGAGTGGGTCGGCAATCGCGAGCTAACCAACATCTGAATCGCATTTTAGTCAGACGTATGTTTGCCCGGACACGTCGCAACCCATTACTCACCCTGAGCCTGGAGGCGAACATATCCTCGACGGACTGCGGCAAATATTCCCGAGTAGCAGCGATTTCGCGCCACTCGTCGACGGACGGGTGAAGCGCAGCCAGAGCGACTTCGTGAAAGCTCGCGTAGTGTTTCGCCAGGGAACACTGGCGCTCGAGCACGAAGCCATATCTTCTTCTTTCCTGCGTCATTGCCTGGGAAATTAGAAACTTTTGATACGTGCGGACTTTCTTCGCAAAGCGTATTTCACGGGAGCTTGGTAGCGAATTCAGTGGCGCGAGCGTAAATGAAATTTATTGATATTTCGGTCGACTGAGATTTTATGATTATTAGTGTACCCAGCATCCCGTGGCCCCTAAATTATGCATCCACTTAAGAAAACGCTTATGTCTATTTATTAGCGCGTAATTGCGAATGAAAAATATCTTCGAGCTTTGATAAAGTGTAGGTGTCTGTGGACTGATTCACATGTGCGTGTGGCGTTATATTTTTAGGCGCTCATAACGAGATGAATGTGGAAAGTGGACGAATATTTCGACTGCTTGCATTTGCTAATATAAACAAGCGATTTTTTTTTTAACAATTGTATTAACAAACAAAATTGAAACAGAGGAGCATTTTTCAAAGACGTGTCCCGTCATAAAGAAGTCTACTGTCTCTCAGTAGAGCGACGTAAGCGAAGTAAGACACATAAAATTTCTCCGAGTCGTGAAAAACAATAGTGGCAAATCATACATTTTTTAAACTTTGCTCGCAGAAAGTATCGAGCTTGGACTTCTCTTCCTCGAGTATCTGCATATTCTTCAGCTCTTTGTCCATGGCGAGTCCGCTTTTGCTCGCCCCGCGTGACTTCTTTCTCTGCTTTTTCATAGTCGCAGCTGCTTTGCTGTACGTCTCGCTGCGTGTTTTATGCTGCTGTAAGAATTTTTTCTGCTCGCTCTAGAAACAGACGTGGACATTCATTCTCAAAATTCGCATATAAACTCATTTTTAACGGAGCATCGTTTTATTACCTGAATGACTTTGGTGTCTTTTTCAAGATTCGTTTCTAGTGGCACTAGTAGATCTACATAGAACGCCTTGAGCTGTAAAAGAAAGAAAATTAAGCATCATTGCGATACAGCCTTTCTTTTCAAAGAGGCCCGACTGAAAGTCCGAGTAATTAACTATTTTTTCTTTTTAAAAGCCGATTCTAAATGAATAATATATTCGTTTTATTAATTAAGTGGAAAATGTGAGAGACGATGATAAAGGGAACGACATGTTTCTTTCATCAAATTACATAAAAATGTATTTGTAGGATGGAAAGGGATTGATAAGTTTGACACAATTTGGCAAGTTTTTTTTATTTTACATGAAATTACATGAATTTTGTTTTTTTGCTCATTAGGTGACACATTAATCCAAAGATCGCCAATATCTTTTTAATTTCCTTTTTTTCTCTCTCTATTTATTATTATTGAAGAAATTAATGAGTCGTTTAAGAAAGGAATGTTGTTTTTTCACATATATTATTGAACGTTGCCTGCGCTTTCATTCCCCCATTTCCTTTCCAACTCTCGTTTTTCCGTCATTTCTCTTGTCTCCCTCTACCTAATTATAATATTTTTCATTTAATTCATTCATTTAAATTACCCGAAAAGAAGTATGCGCAATTATTCAAAGCAGTTGGAACAAATTGCCTTAATAGTAAAATAATTTCAAAAATTATAATACGCAATTCGGTAAAATTATTCTGTATTTAAAAATTATTTTAAAGTTTAGGCAGTACTACAAGTAAATAAATTAAATTTTGCAATTTTCTTCAAGACTTAGTGTGCTGTGTACTATACATTATTTAGCAATTGAATAATATTATGCATTTCATTATATTTACGCTATACATTTTCTTACTTTATATGCCTGATATTTCATTGCAAATATTAAAAATTGAAACATTTAAAAGTATCTTATTATTATTTTATTATTATTATTATTATTATTATTATTATTATTTGTACACATTTGAGAATTAAGTTTATAATGAAAGCATAATTAAAGAAAAATTAAATGCAGTTGTATTATTAATATAAAAGATTGTGGCAATGATACTGTTATAAGAGAATATGATATATATGTAAAGTTCCATAAAGTATCTATCAACGAGTAAATAATAATAAATACATCAATTTATAGCATATTTTCAATAGCCATTATTTAATATATATAAAATTATTGGAATATAATTGTATAAGGAAATTCAAGGAATATATTATTGGTAAGTAAAATCAAAATTAACTATATAATTAATGTAAATAACTAATCGGAAATGAAAATTAAGTAACAGGAACTCTATCAAGTAATAATAACATTTTCTATATCAATGAATTCGAATATTTAAAAGGATATAATCCTACAAATGAATAATTAAGGTGGATGGTCAAATTGGAATAATTTCATTTTAATTAACAAATATTCTAAATAATTAAATGAGATTACATTAATCATCGTGTTAAAATTACATATATATATATATACATATATATATATATATATATATATATATATATATATATATATATATATATGTTAAATTTATATTAAATTTGTAATATTTCTTTTTTTCATCTTTTTTTTTTAATTTTCTCTTGTTACCCTATTTCGCTTGTCTGGTCTTTATGTTTTATTGTAAATAATACTATAGAACGCAATTTCGCATTAAAATGTCTTTATGTTTGGAATTATATTTGGCGTTTTTATGAAACAAACCACTGTCTCATTGTTAATCATTTTCTTTTTTAATAATTTATATATAAGCTTATAAAACACCATAAATATAAATCTACAGATTACCAAATAACGTTTTATGCTTTTTTTTATTAATAGAAAAAACGCGTGTGTGCGTGTAATTTAATAGCAAAACTGCATAAAATACAAATTTTGTTCTTAAACAAAGTATAATCCAACATTTGATATGAATAACCATTAACTCAAATACGAAAAGACTTTTACATTTTTTAATTTATAATACATAAAAATGTCTTATCTACTTGATATTATTAAAATAAAAGATATTAATGATTGAATATTTAAATGATTCATATCACAAAACATAAAAAGGCAATAAATAGTTGTCATCCATTCATGTTAAAAAAAATCACTGTAAATAATGTACAAATTGGAATTTAAACTAACTTTTAAACCGAAAATTACTGTATTTTAAGGAAAACTATCTAAACAATGTCCACCTACAAAAGGAATACTTTTGCTCTGCGGTCACATCATATGACGCTGAATTATGTGCATGTTCAACCACTTAATCCAATAAACTTTTCCTTTCTCTAACACATACATTCATTCAATATCCCGCGCTTTCATTTTCTTTATTTTACATTCTCATTTACTTGCCTTCTCAGTATTCTTCTTATTTTTTCGCTCTTCTCCCTAAGCCTAAGCCTTTAAATCCTCTATTTCTTTAATTCGATTGCCCTTGCTGTTTCGGTTTTTTATAACTAGTATGCTATTTTCCCTCCGACTCTCTTTATCTTAACCTTTCTTTTCACACTCTCTCTCTATCTCTCTCGCTCTCTCTCGCTCTCTCTCTCGCTCTCTCTCTCTCTTTCTATTCTTCTTTATCTCTTCTGTTTTATCTTTGCACTTTCTTATTATTTTTCTCTTTACATTTTCTTACTTCTTTTTTTATTTCTCTATATATTCTATATTTCTGTTTTCCTTATGTAGCCCTGTCTATATTTATGTCTCGTCGTAATATTGGTCTAGCAATCTAAAAAATTTAAATAAGCACGACATTGTTTTACAAAAAATGTAGATATGGAAGTCGAGTACGCACAGAATAGTCGGTTTCTCTCATTTTCGTTCTTGTGTAATTCTGAATTCGAAATTAACATTGATTAGAGCCATTCGATTTATATACTACTGATATTGCCAGTTATTTTGCAGTTAGTGTTGGTATGTAGATGTGAACGTCGGAAATTCCAAAGCTTGATGAATATTTCTATGGTATTCTCGAATGTTCGGTAAAGTATTTTGTAATATATTTTTATAACGTGTTCAGTGATTAATATTTTTTTATTAATCTTTAGTGCAATATAACTGAATATTTTATAATTATAATAAAGTAATAAGTAAAATTATAAACTTGTAATCATATTTTTCATACATTTTAATTTAATTTTTTTCATTATTTTTTTCATTTATATTTAATAATTACTTGTCATTAGTCAATAGTTATAATTATGTTACATTTATTGATGTAAATGTATATTTAAATAAGCTGATATTTGCTTCGAAAATTTATGATTATCTTTCGTAGATAAATTATATGTTGTACTAATAAATGAAGTTTTTCACAAAAAAAGCAAAGATTTTAATTAAATACAAAAATTATCCTAAAAGATTTTAATAAATTGACTAAAATTCTCTTGGTCATATTCGTCTGTTTATGAAAAAGAAACGTTCTTTTGCGGGTTATGTCTATCATCTTAGCAGGTATAAAATAAAATTGATTACAATTTTCAAGAAACATGTTGAAATATTGATAAAAAAATTGTAAATTCAATACACCAAAGAGCATATAAAACAAGATTAATACTTTATTTCTACTCGTCAATATATTTTCCACGTACAGGTTATAATAATTACAATTAATTAATATTACCTAACTATCAGCATAACTTTATTCACTGCAGATACTCAAGCGGTTTAACAGCACCGCAAAATTATTTATATTATTGGAATGGACTAATAAAATCTCGTGCAAATAAACGACGAATGCTTACAAGCCATATATGTACGATCGGAGAAGTATCTCTCGCTCCATCTTTAGAGGCGATGAGATCGTGAATTCGCGAAAGAGGAGCGAGGCCTCGGAAGCAATTGGCTTTGCCTCAGCGAAGCAAAAGACTCCCCGACATTACGGGTGCAGAGGATTTACATCAACATTTGTGTCGAATCCTATTTCGTGCTACGCGTGCTCACGAGAGTAATTTTTCCTTTTACCTTCACGACGAATGTTCTCTCCCCTCGTGAAAATCGAAGTTTAAATCTGAAAAACTTATGGGATGGATAGTTGTAAGTACAGTTTGAAATATCGTTCGAAGTAAGAAATTTTTTCCTCATCTTGTTCTGAATTCGTGAACCCAAATTGGATTTTAAAGTCAAAAGGGCTTTTGCTATTAAAGGACATTCATTTCATCATTTCTTAATTTATGCTCGTTCTATAAATAATTTTTTACATGAACTATTTATAAATTGATAAATTATAAGTGTAAGTAACTGGTAGCTAAACTTTGAAATAAAAATGGTCGAACTCCATTATTTTTATTTTATGAAAAATGTGTTTGTAAAATTAAATAAAAACGAAATTTACTAAAACTAGAGCGATTTTTATAATTAAGATTATACATTAGAAATTTATATTATAAATATTTTAAATGTCTTTCATTTAATGATTAAAGTATCATCGCGAACTTAATAAATTAAAACTAAAGAAAATAAAAGAAATACCAGAATAGCAACAAAAATTAAGAACTTTCGATAATATTAAAATTTTTATTCGAAATACAATGTATTGTAATAAATATAATTATATATTATTATATATATTATATACATTGTTATATACTTTATATTTCATGTATTATGTGGGAGGCGATCATTACAAAAATTAGCACACCATTATCTGTCATCATACATCATATTGCTAGAAAACATTCTTTCATTTAAAATAATTTACAATTCTTACACTATATTGGTGAAATAAAAATATTGGTATTTAAATTTACATAACAATTAATGAAAAAATTGTTTTAGAAAACAATTACTTAATTATGAATTGGTCGATACTCATATTTACTATCAACTATGGCGGACATAGCACTGAACCACTTTTATAACTGTCACAGTAAAAAAAACTCAAGTAAAGTAATTAAAAAGATTTTTATATTTCGATTTTAAAAATAATAGTCCTTAAAACTTAAATTTACCTTGATACTCTCAGTTTTATACAAACACAAAAATGTATTCAGATTTCTGTTATATTTTTGTTTCCCACAAAACATTTTTACAAACTTATCTGAATTTTCATAGCTTATATAATAATAATAACAGAAATATTTTATATTTCAATTATATCATTTTAATGAATTATTTATCCGGAAGGTTTTCATTCATATATTAAAAAAATTTAATTTATTCATTTATATATTTAACAATTTCTATATATTGAGTTTTAATTTTCCAAATATGTATTATGAATTAAATAAACGTGTTTTTAAAAAATAGAATAACAAACTGTAAAATGGAATAGTTAAACGAAATTTTGATTTCGGAATAATTGTTGAAATTACAATATTAATAATGTAAGTAAAAGAGTATAAAGAATATATGTCATGGGCGAAATTTTTTCTTAAATCTCATAGAGATTTTAACAAAATGTATCAAATAAAAACTAAATACCATTTTCAAGAGATATTAAAATAATATGCATCCCTTAATTCCTTTTGAAACTACATTCTTTGACTATTGTTTCTGAGTAATACAATTACATTATAAAGTTACTTTAACTAATTTATAATTACAATATTTAGATTGGTATTTAATAGGAATTAAGTATAATTTTATAAAACTTCTTAAATAATTATTTAATATGATTTTACTTATTTCATTAAAAAGATTCTTTATATATTGGAAATTATCAACAAACTAAAAGAATATAGATTAAAATAGAATACATATAGTTTAGGTAAGGAGTAGTATGTTTATACTAATAAAAAGTAAGCCATAAGAAATTATAAAATTCAATTACTAGAACTTAATACAGAAGTAATAAGATCAATTAAGAAAATTTTTGCGACAGTTATAATATATTATAATGGCAACATTATTTACTCTTATATCTTAATGTAATTCATATTAGTTTAATAATATAAACATATTATTAATTTTCTTCGGATAAATAATAATTCAGTACTAATATATCTAGATAATCAGTATAATTTATCTACATAGAATAATTTAAGTGAAAAAATAATGAAGTTTTATAAATTGATGAGAGAAAACCAAACTTCATTTAGATTATTTAAAATATAACTAAATGAAATATCATTTATTTTAATTTATTTCAATTTATTTTTATTTAATTTATTTCAATTTATTTTTATTTAATTTATTTCAATTTAATTTATTTCAATGTCTTTTACACCCTAATTATATTTTATCCATTATAGGTAAAATGAAGTGGAAAAATGAGGTTTTCTCAACATAAATGAGCAAGTAACGAATGCACAAGCATCTTTATACTCATATTTTTTTAATTTTGCAACTGATGTATTAATAACAACATTTGGATTATCATATATATTTAATGGAATTGAATTTATTCCAATTATATTTAGAACAATTATTAACATAACATATATATATAAAGATAAAAATTATAATAAATAAAATATTTTTTAAGAATTAAACTAAAACTTATTATTTATTATTAAAATGTTTTTAAAATAATTAACGAATGTCTAATTTATTGTATACTGATAATATATTAATAATGCAAGGATATCATTTTCATGGTAACTAATACTATTGTAATTATTCTATTCAACAAAATTGTAATTGAAAATATTTTCCAATTATGAAAAAATTGCCTAAAATGTAATAAGTGATTAAAAGTAAATTTGTTAATTGAATTCCTATGATGTTAATTTTTCCTAGTCAGTGTACTTTTTTTTATCTATTTTCGAAAAAAATATCAAAATTAAATAAAATATTTTTAAAAACTGAGTTTTTAGGATCTATAGTATGTAGTAACTTAAAGGAGCAACTGGTCATACATTTATGTCGACAAGCACCTTATAAGAGAATCAATAGAACTATCTGTATGTAATCGAAAAAGAAACTCTTCGAGTAGATCTTCGAAGTACTTCTCCGAAAATGGAGGAATCGTCTAAGAAGAATATAGCGGAAGACAGTCCAAACGAAATAACGAGGAAAGAACGTGGCTCGAGGCACTGTGACAAAAGAAAAGGATAAATGAAAGAAAAAAGACGTACGAGTGGAAGATTGGACCGTCCATAGAAAATCACGTGCACGTCTTCTTTCTTTGTCTTCTTTATCTGTAGAATATTTATTATCCCATTTCGCATCCTAAGTACACAGTAAGAGGCATGGGTCTTTACGAAACCGATCGCGCCATTCTGGCGGCGTGTGACACCACGGCAGTAGCGACTGATAAAAGGTGAATCCCAGGGGAGAAGAAGAAGAAAAGGAAAATAAGGAGAATACTTGTTTTAAGTTCTTGCAATTGATCTTAGAATGAGGCTTGAAGAAAAAAGTCCTTGCACTATCCGAGGTACACTGATGTTTCAACAGAATGGACAAATGGAATTTGGGTGAAAATATTGCATGTAAAAATTAATGTGTCCACATCGTTCATTTCACTTTCTCTAGAATTTTTTTTCTTTTTTTTCTGTTCGATCGTTTTTATCTTTATAAAAAATTTACTAACACAGATCTTGTAGAAACATTCTTGAATTGTAATATTATTTGAAATATGTCGATGACAATGCTCATTGAAATGAGACGATAAAATTATTTAGAATCATTCTGTCATTGACTTATGTCGAATTAAATTTAATGCAAATACGTTAATAAAATGGAGAATGGCATCATAATTTCATAATCATCGTGATATTTGTTAGAATAAAATTAAATTTTTACCTCAAATACATAAGTTGTGTTGATGGAAATATTATAATTTTAAATGTCGTTAAAAGATTTATCTGTGTAATAATTGCAGGAATTTTTGGATTTTTCAACTATTTGGTAGCGTAATGGCATTAAATAATAAAAACGAAGTATTTAATGAAATATGAGTTAAGTGAAAGCAACGACTAAACTTTTTTTTCAGAAAAAAATCAATATTCAAGCTTTAATGCATAATAAAAACTTTTGTTATTCGATAAAGTAATGTTCATATCATATGCTTAATAGATTTTCCAATTTAATAGGCGTCTAAAATGTACATAGCCTTAAACATTTTATATAATATTTTAGAAATAATTTTATGCATATAAATATGTATATCAGTAAGCATATAATGAGTATGCGATCATTTTATTTCGTTTCAAATATCATGTAGTACTTAAAACACCATATCATCAAGTATTTCAAAATTGTAAATAACGCAAGAATTAAAATTTGGCAAAAATGTGAAGATTCTTGAAAAATAAGAGGCACTAGTTGTACGCATATTTTATTTATGCAGCAATACAAAAATGTGATTAAAACTTTGTACAAAATGAATCTTTATATTACACCCAACACTCATTTCGCTAAATTTAATATTAAAAAATATGATTAATGAGTTTAGCCATAAAAAACTACTTCATCTTCATTAATGTCTTTTACAAAAAGTATACGTAAATTTTCTAATATTCCACTTATATTGGCAAATAATTTTCAAAATTATCTATAACTTTCTTTGATTTGGTATGACACTGTAAAAGGTTAAGATCGCTATTGATTTTTTATTGTAGTATTTTCCTTAAATATTGATAAAATTTCATAATCTTATCCGTAAGATTAATTAATTAAAGTAATATATCTCTAAAGAAGACCTGCCACGTTATAAGAAAACTTGACTTGAAGATAATTAACTGAATAATTATGCGTTTTTTATGGCATGTAAAAAGTAATATAATCTTCTAATGGCTAAGGAATGGTAATGTATTTTAAATATAAGTTTTAGTTTCAGTTTTAATTTAATAATAAAGAGTAACAATTCAACCTCACTCGAATATATTATAAACAATGCATTATATTTACTAAAATTAATATTTTTCGTAATAAAAGTAATAAAAATTAGTATTTCTGGCGGCACATAGCATTATTTGAAATACGTTCATATTAAATAATGATGGAATCACATCTTATTATATTTAACTATTACACTATACCATGCATTATGATTTCAGTTATAAAATAATTCTCTAATGACAAAACGATAATACAATTTTATCATTATTTTAAATTGAAGATATTATCAATTTTCTTAAGTACATAAAATACGTAATTACTTACTATATTGATTTCCTGTTCTTGTATCTCTTTGTAGACCTCGACAATCCGCATCAGAGCAGATCCTAAAATAAGAAAAAGAATGCATTACGAATTAATAGCCAAATAACTAAAGTAGATACATTACAATAGGGTATAAATTCTTCCTAGTGAAAATAAAAAAAAGAACCTAATGACACCGGAATGTAACATAGCTTTTATCGGCTCATTGCAAAAAGCCAGCCAAGAAGCTGCATGTGGCTAAATAACAGCGAGAGAATTTGCATATGAGATATCAGAGATGATAAGGGAGAAGAAGATGGTAGCATCACGAGCAAAGTTTCGACAGTTCTGAATAATTCAGTGTCTAGCACGTCAGCAATGCCGTAATTCGAATAGCTCCTCAGTTTACAGTGTTCACATTTCCTATATGCTTCTCACTTTCTTTCCATACTGCTCGCGCTCCGTAATATCATCTCTTTTCTTTATCTAGATACACGATCTGAAGCAATATACCGTAATACAAGAAATAAAAAATCAGAAATTTCAGGAAGTTTTATTTCGAGTATACGTGATATACTTGACTCGACTTTTAGTCTTTAAATTAATTTCATTTTATTATTAGGTATTATCATTATATATATATATATATATATATATATATATATATTTATATATGCGTGTGAATGTATTAATACAGTTAATGTAGGAATTTCAAAATATAGCTGAATTTCTATGACAATCCTCAAATTAGTAAACAGTAATTAAATTTACTAATATTCTTTTATTGAATGTAAATTTAATATAAAATAACTAGGAAATAAGTAAGTATAACTTTATAAGAATTTATTACATGTAATATGTGTGTGTATATGTGTATGTGCGTAAAATCCAAATTATTAAATATTACTGTTGAAAACATGAAACAAAATTGCGTTATTTATTTCCAGTGAATAAAGAAATTGCTCTTTTAAATTTTATAATAACCATAATAGAAAAAAAATCTATTAGTGATTTTAAAATATATTAAATTAAAAAATACGCTACATGTATTACTAGGGAGAAAAGCTTACAAGTGGTCAAGTATTTATTGAAGATGAAACATTGTAAATACTAAGATCAAATAGCTACAAGGATATCATTAAAATCTCTTAGTATTACTCATTACGTGCTATGTTTACAAAGTCATGTGCGAAATATAAAATAAATAAAATGAAAAAGATAATGACAAACCGCTGTATTCGTAACAAATTCTCAACCTACATTATTAAAACAAAATTTTTCTAAATTCACATTTTTTTATACGCTCTAATAATATTCTATTCCGCTATAGTAATTTTGTTTGATAAAATATTTATATTTCGAATAATATTAAGTCGTCATATTTAATAACTGATACGAATGGTTCGTTTCCTTAAAACTGACAATATTTATAAAAAATCTAATTAAATACTATGAATTGTTTCAAAGATTGACAAAATTCAGAAAATGAAAGCAGCGTGATATCTTGTTAATTAATCTTCCTATCTTTAAAACTATTGCACTGCAAATAAAAAACAAATGCACGTAGCCTCTTGTTGCAAAGATTACAGGCATCATTGAAGAGACGAGCAATCCAAAACTTCGTCTCAATTTCTTTGTGCATTGTACGTGGAATGCTACCATGAAATGTTCCCTGTCCCCTTTTTCCGACAAATGCTTGAAAAACTAAAAGACATACGAAAAGACGTTCCTCGTGGTAGGTTGGAGTGTGAAAATTTATAGGATTTAAATAAGCTCACGAACACTATTTCTTCAATCGCGACGTGAGCTGTTTTTAACATTAATGCATAATTCGTCGGACAAATAAGACTTACACGGAAAAACATTTTATATTATATTGCTTATAATATTAATAATGGCTTAAATTTTTTCATTTTATATTAGATAAATACCTAAATAATCTCTACTTCCACGAATTATTATTGCTAATAATCATAAATCTTCTTAATTATGTGTTTTAAACAGTGAATTTCATTTGTTTTTAAGTTTCATAAATGTAAGACAATTGAGCTATTCATAAATTATTTATCTAATTTATGACTTTCATTTTGTGAAAATCCTCTATTATTTCAATAAAGTTATTTAGCGTGCTGCTTTTACGATTTTACGATTTTTTTTTCAAAAATAATCGCACATGAAAAATTTTCCCTAGTGAATTAAATTTTACATGACAAGTCTATGCTAGTCGAAAGATTCTCTCCGGTCATAAAAATAAAAAATCTTATAAATTCAAAGCTCAGTTCCCGTACTGCCAATGACGAAGGATGGTACGAAGATAAGATGGAATTTGATTGTATTGAGAGCTTCTAGCGTATGAGAAATGAGTGAATAAGAAATGAAGGAAAGATAGAATGACGAATAGGAAGTGAACATATTTTGCATTGATGAAATTACAATTATTACTGTATCTTAAAGCTGAATATCATATTTGAATATGTACAAAACATTCTTGTAATAATTAAATTCTTCACATGCTCTATATTTATTCATAATAATTAAAACTATTTATTACTTATATAATTGTTTCTGTACATAGAATTCACAATAAAATTATTACATTTCTTGATGAACGTTGTATAATAAAATATGCATTAATTACTTCTTCAAGGCATTAAAATTAAAAAAATTTAAAGACAATTTAAAAATGTAAATTAAATTTTTCTTCTTATATTCTTATTGTATGCGTGTTCTTTTGTATGTCTAATATCTGTGTATAAAAAACATCATTATTTATCTTCCTTTGATATAATTAAAATGAAATTTCTAAATTTCTCTTATTTTATAAAAAATTGATAGATTTTAAAAATAAAAACAAAAGGAATACATTTAACATTTATATTAAAGTTACCATTCATATCATAATTCAAAAGTATCATGTCCTTAAAAATCTAAAAATATTTTACAAATCTCGTACATGTATAGACTCGTGTAACTAAATAAGTAGAACGAATATGCGGTATAGTCAGCCAGGGAGTCTATAAATCCACCATTATTTATTGTATCTTATAATTTCAAACATAACTTTCTAGATAATTGAATTATTAAAATAGAAAATTAAAATAAGAGAATTAATGTAAATGATGAATTATACAATTATATCTTAAATGACGACAGCAGCTTTTATACAATATATTTTCATTTATGAAATTTATTAGTAATTGTAATTACTTTGTTCTCTAATGCATAAATACTTTTACCTGCAATTACTGTTTATACAAAACATTAATATTATTATTCGAAGCATTCTAAAGAATAACACTGAAATTCTTTTGGTGACTAATCGTTTTTTATTGAATATACATGATTACACAGTCAACTTTGTAAGTCAATTATTAAAGAAAGTTATAGCATTAAAAATCAATTTAATTTCCTAAAATATCCGAGCACATATTAACGTTCTTTCTCATTGAATCAGAAATATCGCAGAATTATTGCCAATGGATTATTAAAAATTATATTGAAAATTATTAAAAAAAATTCATAATAAATGACAAAATCTTTGTTTTTGAGCTTTCGTGTCTCTCTCATCACTGTATGATTTTGCAATTTTGTAATCGGGTCTACAGTTTAAAATGAGTTCCGAACCATCGAAACTGAGGTAAAGGATCAGTGCACGTAATGCTGAATAATTCATTCAATGTACAGTTTGACTCGGAACTGACGGATACCATCACTTAAATTGGAAGTTTCAGTCCATACTTCAAAGACTATCACCGCAGCCTTAATATTAGAATTTTAGTTGTAAATTTTTCATTTACTAATGAGCTTAGCGTTTTAAATAAAATTAATTCGTCGACAATTCCGCTACAGCTAGACATTATTTGCTTTTTGATGGCACGTGAGTGACTAGTATTATAGTACTGAATACATTCGAAATTTTGGAAATAACTTATTAATTAACTCAAAACGCCACTGTTTCATTGGTTTTTATCTACAAAAAAAAATTTATCTACAATCGATACGCTTTTGCACTTAGCAAATACTAATAGTTAATTCATCATTTCTTGTGTTACAATCTTTTAGATATTATACATTATTATTATACTATAATATCATTTCGATATTATACTATATTAATGGATTGTGACTATTAATAGGCATACAATTAAAAGTGCGTTTGCATCTTATAAAGAATTTTCAAAAATGATATTACAGGCCATTATTGAAAAACAGTATGCTATTCAAATTTATTGCAACATACATACAAAATTTTAATCCAATTAATTAGGATGTTTTGAAATATTTCAATCAAGTCATAATAAAACTAAAAAAAAACTCTACAAAACGTGCACTCCAGTTATTAGCACACAAATTTTCAAAAATAACCTACTAAACGAAGACAACATAGATTCTCTAAATGAGATGAATGGATCACTTGAATGTATCGCTGAAAACTATGGAATCACTCAAACATTTACATATCCACAATTCGACAGTTCATTTTCTTCGTTTGGGACAAAAAAGACCAATTAAAGATTAATTAGCATTTCGCTCGAGCAGCCAAATCTTATGCCACGGTGGGATGGCACGTAACAGGGCAGAGTATTAACGACTTAGAGTAACAGACATTCGATTCAGTTCTTCTTGTTGTGCAAGATCGTGAATTCCGTTTGATCTGACATGGCAGGGCTCGCGACTCAATCCGCGCGTCGCGTCCTCGTGCCAATCCGATAATCCGCTCACTAGCGTCGGTTTTCGTCCTATCGTTGCTTTTCACGTATTCCCCAACTTTTCCATGTGCGTATCCTAACCAGCTTTTTCCGAGTTTTACTCTCGTATTAAACTGAACTGAGAACGAAGTTAAACTCGTAATAAAAATTTGTTGCAAATTCCGCTACGATTTTTTTGTTGAAAACTTTTTACCCGTGAATTCATGAATTTAAAACTTTCGGTACTTATTCGCACAGATATGACGCTTCATAGTTGCAAAGGTTTTCAAAACCTAACCAATATAAATTGCCTAATCTAATATTAACATGTAGATCATTTTGATTAAATTTTTATTGTTTATTGATTATATGACGGTTGTTATCCAGGCATGTGT